TGCCAGCTGGGACTCCCCTCTGCTACAGAAAGAGCTGGCGGGACATTTTTCAGATGTATCGATTTTCCATGGAAACAGACAAGCGGATTCAGATGCTTGCTCTTCATTGCTCTCTTCTGTGGCAGATGAACATTCAGCTCAGACATTCGGTTTGGTTTTCTTTGGTTACAAGCTTGCTTTTACTCCATAAAATTTTTTAAAGTGAAGATAACTCCTGAATAAAAAGACGACGCGACTGAGGCATAATAAAATGCCTAGGGAAGTGTGTGCATGTGCACGTGTGTGTTTGTGTGTGCACGTGCACGTGTGAATGTGTGTTTGTGTGTGTGTGTGCATGTGTGTATGTGTGTTTGCATGTGCATGTGTGTATGTGTGTTTGTGTGTGTGCGTGCATGTGTGTATGTGTTGGGAGGTAGTGATGAGCTAGGAAAATCTAGTCCTGGTCTCTCTGGTGATGAGCCCTGGGTAGGGGGTGAGGGGGACACCCAGCCACACTTCTGTGACCCTGGATGAACTGACACTCAGGCAGGAGGTGGCCCTCCCCTCTGAACACCAGAGCGGTGGTTCTCAACTCTGGCTGCACATTGGAATCACCTGGGGAGCTTTAAAAAGTAGTCAATGTCTGGGTCTCCCAGGGCCAATTGCATCAGAAGTCCTGGGATGCAGTCTGAATGTCCACATGTTTTTTTACTCACCCCCAAGTGATTCTACTGTGGTGCCAGGGCCAAGATCCAACGCTTATCTGAGGGCAGAATCGCAAGGTTCAACCTCTCCAAAAATGGACAACTGTATCCACCAGGACTGAGTTCCCACCCCCAGGCCTCCAAGATCAATTAAATTACCATATTTCTACATGGGGTGGGGGCAGAGAGGGGCATCCACAAACCAAGGAGAGAGGCTTGGCAACCCTGCCGACACCTTGATCTTGGACTTCTGGCCCCTAGAACTGCAATAAAATAAATTTCTATTGTTTAAAGCCACCTGTCTGTGGCACTTTATAATGGCAGTTCTAGCAAACTAATACAGTTTGGTCCCAAGTACTACTTATTGCACACTTGGGCAACCAACGACAGGGATTAAAACATTGGCCCAGGCTCTTATTTAGAGAAACAAGCAAGTATCTGTATCGTCAAACACTGTGGTGGTGAGCACCTGTAGTCCCAGCTACTCAGGAGGCTGAGGCAGGAGGATCACTTGAGGTCAGGAGTTTGAGGCTGCAGTGAGCTATAATCGCACCTGTGAATAGCTACTGCATTTCAGGCTGGGGAGATTAGCAATATCTCAACTCTTTAAAAAAAGAAAAAAAAAACAACTTCCTCCATATAGTGACCTTTCTTTGAGGTCTGGAGACATTTGGGTACAAGGAAAACTTTAAAGGCCGCTCTACATTCACCACTGTGTGCCTTAGGGCAAAACCAAGTGTGGAAACATACAAACATGATACTTTGTCCAAAGGCAGGAGTTCTCCAGGAATTCCAGGGGAACTAGAACAATTTTCCACCCTTTCCTTCCCTTCCTCCTTCACACCCCTACCCATAAGCCCATCAATCTCTTGACTTTCTTTGAGAAAAAAGAAAAGGAGAGAAAGGAAAGAAGTAGGAAGGGAAAAGAAGGCTCAGCTTGTCCTCAGCAGAGAAACTACACAAAGTAAAAGCTCCAAAAACATCAAGCACTGCTGGACCACTGCAAACTAAGTATGAGAGACACACTGAAATGCCAAGGCAACATGTAAAGGGTCCCTTGCTTTTTACAACTGGAACTTAAGAGAGCAGCCCTCCCTCCTCTCAGCTCCAAGCTCCAGCTCCCTGTCTTGCTCTCTGAACAAAGACCATAGTCGTGACATTATACTTCTGAGGTTTGTTTTGTTTTGTTTTTTAAATCAATGACCAATTTGGACATCTCAGCCCAAATCCTCAATCTGAGAATGCAGTCAAAAGAACAGAACTCCACCCCAAAGAGGAAAATGGATGAAAGCCAAGCACATTTGAGTACAAGATTAAGGATCAGAGGCACTAATTTTGCATGAAATGCTCTTGCCTTCCCTGGGATACATTTTTAATGCAGTGATGATTGCCTTCCAGTGGCTGCTGGCAGCATCTCAATGTCTTCAGGGATGAGACGGAAGGGGGTGATTGGGGAGCCTGGTTACCAGCAGGATTGGGGGTGATTAGAACAAGTCGTGAGTGTGGAGAGGGAGGAGGAGGAGGTGATGATACAGCCTCAGGGTTATTAAGAGTAAGATTGATGCTGGGAATCCCCGGGGCAAAAAAAAATCAATGACCCAGGAAAACCATACCAGCTGACAGCCTCAGCAAAAGGCTCAAGGAAGAGTTGCAAAGAGGAGAAAGGCTTAAGTAACTTTTCAAAACTCTGCACTGCTAATCTCCTGGGAGGCCCTATACTAGACAGACAATGGCTTCGACCCCTGACATTCTAGTACTTTCTTCCACATGGACACACCATCCTCCCTCCTTTTCCACAGGGTAAAGGAATCCCAAGTTCCCTTCATCCTCCACTAGTTTTTGATGTTTCCCTTATTTAGAAAAACAAGCAAGTATCTGCATTGTCAAACACTGCTTCTCTAGCCCGACTGCCTATTGTTGTAAGGCTCCGCGGGGGAGGACCCACTGTCTCTTTATACAGCTCTGTTTTGCTTTCTATACACTCCTCCAAGTTCATAAAAAGGAACAGGACCCACTGTCCCCAGGAAGGCGGGCAGCAAGCTTTGAGGCCCCAGGGGGTTTGGAGTTACGTGATCAACACCCACTGCTTCAACCGAAACATTGAACTGAACACTCACACTGTCATCTTTGGAGCTTAGGAATTTTCCTCCATGCTGTATATCACATGGTTGGGGGGGGGTCCCTGAAGGTTTTGTTAAGTTTCGAGTCAAATTAGCTAACTTTGGAAGACTTCATCTTTCTCCCTGAGACTTTCCTAATGTTTTCCCGATCTCACCCTATATCGAATGAAGGTTTAAACTTGAATGTGTCTGTGGTCTGGGAAGACATTATATTTCTTTTCATGTCCCCAAAAGGCTACCTGACATTTCCCCCTAGTCTTCAGCTCTCTGGAGAGCATCGCCAATCAGAGGGAGTGTGGGGACTGGCTGTGGGTGGCAGCATCACCACCTGCCGCTGGCTCAGAGAGTTTTAAACCCTGGAATTCAAGTGTGCATGAAAAGCAGAAGGAAATGCTTTTATCATTACATTATTTAGAGGAACCTGTATCAGAGCATTCATTTTACTAAGGGTATAGCTGGCCTATTTGATAGCTCAAGTCCACTGTATATAACAGTTGCTACACACGGACAACTCCAAATTTGGGTGGTGACCTGTAGAATGTTACAAGTATTGCAACTGCACCCCTAAAGAAACAAAACTCTTGAGTGTCTATAATCTGGGAAAACAATCTAATGGTTACACCGCAAATTGCCTAAAGCAATATTTGTTCAGTTGCAATGATGTCACACAAAAAAAGGGCTTGTCAGCTTTCAATTCTTTCTTTAGAATTCAGAGCTAGACTGGCTGGACTCAGACCTGCTCTCCATAGCTTAAATCAGAAAATAGTGCTTTTCTAGCAGCCAAGAAAGTTCTATTAAAAAAAAAAAGTCAATAGCGTTTGAAAAGCTTGATGCATTTCCCCAGAACATTTACCACATGGTCCTGTTCCTGCAGTGCTCGATTTTAAGGGCCACGGTTTGCTTGCCAAACAGGCATATCTTGGTTTCCTTTGCGAGACAGGAATACTGCCTTGATATTAAATATTCAAAGCTAAGAACCTCTGACCTAAGGGCTCTCAACTAACAATGATATTCTCTTTAAGTAAACTAGAAACTCAACTCAACTGGTTTGCCCCTGCCCTTTGCCATGTATTAATACTGGTCTACTGCACAAACAGGACTGAGAAATGACTCAGTTTACCACAATTATACTGCAAAAGACCTCGCACTGCAGGGCCCTACGGGGACTCTGCAAAGCTTAGGCTTGGCAGAAGATGCCTGGCGGAGGAGTGGAGGCTCAGAGCTGCTTCCTGGGCTGGGCTGGGGAAGGATGAGAGCCGGCAGCCTTGCCAGAGGGAGACTCGGGCTGTTACAGTTGCAAGGACGAGCTTGACCTTAAGCAAGTGCAGCACTGATAGAAGCATGCACTCCTATAGCCCATCATCTACCTGAAAACTTCTTTCACTTTGCAGCCGCACACCTGCAACCTCAAACTAGCTGAGATTCGCTGCAAGAGCCTGGGTCCAAGTTCCCAAAAAGAAAAACTTCATCGTTCAGTAAACTTCATCGTTTACTGAAGAGGAGGGAGTCAGTGTGTGTGTGTGTGTGTGTGTGTGTGTGTGTGTGAGAGAGAGAGAGAGAGAGAGAGAGAGAGAGAGAGAGAGAGAGAGAGAGAGAAGAAAACTGAGATTGAAGAGGGGTGACGCTGGTATTAATACCTTTTGGCAATAAAGTCACGCCCCTGAGTCTCCTCTGTTCCCTAAGCTTCTCATCTCTCACCTCCTTTTCGCCAGACCTCCAGTCCCCACAGGCTTCCCTTCCTCCCTGCCGGCGCAGACTTCAGGACAGGTGTCCCCTTGGCTAGTCTCTTACATGGGCACCCAAACTATGCGGGTGGCAAACCAACTGCAACTCCTCCAACCACAACACGTGTATTTTAACAGCACTGGGCGCGGCACAGGACTAGCTTAAGGAGCCTCGGGCGAGCGCGCGTGGGTCAGGCTGGGTCCCTTATGCTGGGAAACCAACGAGGTCAGCAGCAGGGTGAGAAACTGTAAATATATTACACACCTTTCCTTCTGGGGGTGGGGGGCTCCCTGTCACCAGCCGGCACGCAGCACCTATGCCATCCGCTCACACCAGACAAGAAAAGTGGCCATGAGCAAGCTTCAACTTTAATCCAACCCGGCCGCGCCCGCAGGGGCAGCGGTCCCCTGCCCAGGGCTCACCTGGGCGCACCGCGGTGCCGGGGGCTCACGGCCAGGGAGGGCGCTCTTACCGGAGAAGTCCGTGAGCGCTGCGATCTCTTTGGAGCAGACCAGGACAGTGCAGTAGAAGAGGCGCAGGAGCTGCCCCGGCGGCTCTACCTGTCTGCGGAGGCCGGGATGCTGCGCGGGTTGGGGCGCGGGCGGCGGGCGTGCGTGTCCCGGCAGGAGCATGGTGCGCCGCGCGGCAGGGCGCGGACGCGGGCCCGGGGAGCGCGGGGGGTCGCAGGGCAGAGGGCTGCGTCACATGGCGGGGCGAGTCGGTGGCCAGCGGCTCCGCGGCCCCCCGCCGCCTCCCGGCCCAGGCAGCCAGAGCCTACTCCCCGGCGCGGGCCAGCCCAGGCTCCCCAGCAAAGAGGAGGGGGCGGAGAGCTGGGGCGGGGCGAGGAGCCCCGGGAAGGATCCGCGTAGTTTCCCCGAGAGGAAATCTCCGCTGTCGCCGCGCAGGAGGAAGCGAGGGGGGCAGGAGGGAAAGCGTAGCCTTCGCGCCGGGAGGCTGCGGAGGCCGGTACCTGGCGCGCTGCCCGCCGCGGAGGGCGCCCCCAACAGCGTGCCTGCGGCCGCAACTTGAGCGCCTTCCACGCCGGGTCCCAGCCCCAGAGAGGGCCCGACGCCCCCGGCCCTGCCCGCGCTGGCCGGTTGCCAGCTTCGCCCGGGCGGCCGCGGGAGGAGCGCGCCCGGTGCCCGTGACGCACTTTGGAGCCAGCGCCGAGCGTGCGGCTGGGGCGCCCCCGGGGCGGGGCCGAGCGGCGACCGCGGGAAGGTGGGGTCCTGGAGGCGTGGGTCGCAGCACTGCCGTCCCTGCCACCCGCCGGGATCCACGTGCAGAGTCACCAAGCGCGCACAGTTCTCGCCATTTCACAGACGAGGAGACTGAGCTCTGGCGCTTTGCCCAAGCTCACGCAGCCAGGACGGCAATGACCTGGAAGTCTCAAAAGGGGTCAGGTGGCTCCAAAGCCGGTTTCTTTTCGCTCCGACTACACTTCCTTTGGTTGTCCGCAGCGCTAGTGGATCTGACACTGGACCGGCATAAATAGCCACCGAGACCTAATAATTGGGCTTTGTTTGAAATTGGGCCACAGCATCTTTCTGAACCTCTAGATTATGCGCTGTTGTGACCCACGTTTGGACGCCCAGCCCGTGGGCGAGGATCGGCCTGTGTGGCCCCGACTAGAGGGTATCGAGGTCAAGTGCTTGGGGGTCCTGGCGGCTGCGCGCCTGGTGCAGGTTCCTGGGGCCCAGGGACCCAAACCCTCCCGACCGAGCGGGGTGACCGGCCAGGCGGGGCTGGCGGGAGGGAGGAGGGCCCAGCAGGCGGGCGCTAAGCACAAAGTGTTCCCGAACACCGCGGGGAGGGCCTGCCAAGTTAGCTGCGGGCGTGACGCGGAAACGTAGATAATGAGACCCAAGGGCGGGGCTCCAGGGCTGTGAACTGCCCAGACTGTGGCCCGGAGGCCTGGAGACAGAAAATGCGAACCCGCTGGCCTCCCGCGGGACCCTCTCAGAGGTGGGCCGCTGAGATCCCGAAAAAGTGAATGACACTGAGTCCCACCTGTGCTCCGTGGGGGCTGGATTCCCAGCCCCTTCTTCCCAGTCTGGGGATGGAGTGGCAAATGCTAAACATCAGTGTTTGTCAAGGGGGACCCAGTCGGCCAGACACAATGATTTTAAAAATCTGCTTTAAAATAAAAACCCAACCATCTCAATAAGCCACGTATTAGAGTGCATTCTCCAGGTCGGGGAAACTGAGGCTGGGACGGTAGGCAAGGATGCCCAGCACTTAGGAGCCACCCAGTAACTAATGTTTGCTCAAAATGCAGGTCTGTCCCATACTTTCCATTCAGCCAGCTTAGATATGAACTGGGCACTAGGGTGTGCCAGGTTCTGAGCTAGGGCCCGGGGGTTCCAGCACAGGGAGAGAGCAGCACTCCCCAAGCGCTGGGGGCTGGCAGCACCATCCCGTGGGTCCCCGCTGGCTTCCAGAGGCTGTTGGAGCAAAGAGGGTAGTGGAGAGAAGCTGAGCCCGAAGGAGGAAGAGAGACGTTAGGGAAAATTTTAAGGCAAGATGGATGTGAAAGACAGGAAGAATTGGCCAAGCAAGACCTAGCAAAAACTGGGTGTTTGGGGAGGGTGAACATTCTAGAAAAAGGGACCAGCATGTTGAAATTCAAAAGGAGTCTGTCTCCCTAGAAGGATGGAGAGAAGCCTAAGGTGACCGGAGCAGAGCAAACCCCAGTGCAAAGGGACTTGGAGAATCCGGCAGGCCAAGTTCGGGGTCCTGGAGACCTTGGTGGGCATTTCCATCTTTATCTTAAGCTGGCAAAGAATTGTAGGTAGCTAGTTGATGTGATTGAACTTGTGCTGGTGAAAAGTTACTCTGGCTCCTGAGTGCAAATGAACTGGAGGTATCAAAAGCGGGTCCTGGAAGTTAATAACCCAAAAAATGGGGCTCAAACAGACACGTATATGCCAATATTCACTGCAGCAGTATTCACGATAGCCCAAAGGCAGAAGAAACCCAAGTGTCCATCAGTGGACAAGTGGATAAACAAAATATGGAACATTATTTAGCCAGAAAAAGGAATGAAGTTCTGATAGATGCTAAAACGTGGATGGATCTTGAAAACATGCCAAGCGAAATAAATTAGACACAAAAGGACAAATATTGCATGATTCTACTTATATGAAATATCTAGAATAGGTAAATTCATAGAGGCAGACAGTAGGATAGAAGTTACCAGGAGTCGGGAAGAGTGGGATGGAGAGTTATTGCTTAATGGGTACCGAGTTTCTGTTTGGGGAAAAATTTCGGGAAATAATGGCCATGATTACACTACATTTTGAAAGTAATTATCACCAGTAAATTGTACACGTAAAAATGGTTAAATGGCAAATTTTATGTTACATATGTTTACCACCACTTAAAAGAATTAATAATGTAATATGCCAAAAACCATTGAATTGCATACTTTAAGTGGGTAAGTTGCATGGTATGTAAATTATGTCTCAATAAAGCAGTTGAAAAAAAAACAAAGGAGTGGGTGTGGGGAGATGGGGGTGCAATGAGGAGTATACAGCCGGGCTTTCTGTGGGCGCAGCAGGCTCCACGAGAAGGGAAGAAGTGGCCACATTGGAAGGAGGTTTGGGAGGTGGATGGACAGCCCAATGTGACCCAGTGGTCGTGGGCATAAGAGGGAGAAGCGTGAAGGACAATCCCCTGGCTTCCCTCTGCCCTGGCCCACAGCCCCTTGCTATCAAAACAGGAGATTTTAGTACTAATTTTATCTAAGAATTTTGATATTTTGCAAGAAAACCAAATTACTCTATTATCTTCCTCTGTGCTCCCTACGTTTCAAGTGCTTTGTGCTCCCAGCCAACTGGAAACCAATATCCCTACCCTATTTCCTTCTCTCTCAATATTACAGATTCAAATACCCAAACCCTGAGGCACTGTGACAACTCATAGGCCAGGAAAATGGGGATGAAAGTACATACTGCAAAGGGGGGGGGGAACCCTTGTAAAATCAATCTGGGAACTGAAAAGGGATGATCTTTTCCACCAAGGCAGTTTCCCCCTAAACTCTTTCCTCTGTGATGGAATTTGAATAATAAAAAACATAACCATTTGATTATTCAGCATGGTTACATGAGCTGGAATTAAACTAAATTCAGTCTGATGAAGGGTGAGCCAGATAGTAAAGTGTTCCCAGAATATTAATAATCACAACAACCATTAACATACATACCAACCAAGAGAGACGACATAATTTCCTGGCCCAGTGCAAAATGAAAATGCAGGCTCCCTTGTTCAAAATCCTTAAGAATTCCAACATGGTAGCAGCAGAGCATTAAACCAAGCATGGGCTTTGAGCACTGGCCCCTGAGCAAAAATTGCCCATGTCACATGAACATGGCCCAGGTACTACCAATGACTCCATTTCTCAGATGGGGAAACTGAGGACACAAACTCACATGGACCTTCCAGGCCAGGATTTGATGCCCTCTTATACTGCAAAGACACAGCAATTGTGGGATGAACACTGAAGTGGAAGTAAAATAAAAATGTTCCCTTTTATGCGATGGCACCATTGAACAATCTTGTCCTTTCTTGCTTGAGTTTAAAAAAGTGCTCTGTGTCCGCTGCATTCATTCTATATGCGAGAGGCACACTTGCAGGCCATTGTCAGTTACAGGTCTTATTTCCTGCCTCCCGTTGTCTTCTAAAGCAATCCCTGATCCTTTCCAGCTCCAAGTGATAACTCTGTTTTCCTTCTTCCTTGAGATCCTGGATATTGCCCTCCTCACATATCCAAGACTATTTTGAAATAGGTTTGTGTACAAAATAGTTTGTGTACTCAAACTCCAGCCCTGAGCATGCCCTCTCACCTGGGCCATCAAGGTAAGGCATTTGGCTTCCAACAGATGAGCTGTAGCCGTTCAGAGAAGACATAAGTCATCATTGGTCAGCCTCAAAGAAGCCAACACTTCAGCTCAGGAAGAGCAAGGCTGAATGCTGTCCAGAGCTAAAAAGGCTTATTTTTAGAAAGCAACAAATGGTGGTTTGTTTATAGAGCTGACACCGCAGAGCCACATCAATAGCAAGGAGCCTGCTTGATGAGGACATCAAAAGCCAGAAATGCACTAGAAAGGTTGGATGAGGAAGATTTGGTCCCAAAGCCAATGGAGGAGTCCTTTAAGAACATGTACCCAGCAGTCAACTGATGTCTGTAGCATCCAAGGTCAAAGGCATCAAGTCCAATAGTGTCTACTCATATTCAACAGCTGCTCGGGAGACCTCAGGTCCAGCCCCAGCTCTCCCACGGAGAGACCGCCACCCACAGGGACACTTGATCTCTCTGCCACTCACTCACTTTTTCACATCTGCGAAATGAAAAGGCTGAATTCTAAAGTCCACTTTGGCTCTAGAAGCTCATAACCTGTTTAAAATACATGTAGCATTTCAGAAAACTGGGCTAAATCTATACTGATTCCTTGACATCCCTTAATGTTTTCTTAAATATATATTTACACTTATCTTTGCATATGCTATCAATTTGTTTGTATATGTTAATCACAGTTTTTTCTTTGCAAAAGAAGAATTCAGCACAAGCATACCTTTGGGGGTTCTCGGAGCATTGTGAGGGGCTGAATTCTGATTCATGGGAGTTTTTCAGTGTGGGAGTTCCCAAGTATTCACAGTGGTACACTCAGTTTCTGGAAGATAGCATGGACTTCATCCTGGACCAAGCGCCAGCATGGTCCCCACCAAGGCTGGAAGGTGTCGGTTCCACCAGAAGTCCAGAGGCTGCAGCGGGAAACCTGCTGCCTGCAGGGAGCAGGGCTGTCCTGGCCCTGCCTGAGAGCAAGGAGCAGTTTGTCTCCAGAACCGCCTATTCCCTCTTTCCACCTGCCCTTCCACTGGGGGACCAGGCACTCTTCCTTCCGAGTTCTCTGCCATCTGAAAGGAAAGTGTGCTGGTGGAAGGAAGTGCCCCAGTATGTTGGAAAGCAGCAGCTCTGGTTCTAGAAAACCAAGCTTACCCTGCAAGCGGACACAGCCTATGGCAGTCAGTGGTTAATAGTATGGGCTCTTTGGTCGGAGCTCAAGGTCCAAATCCCAGTTCTGCCGAGTCTGGTATGTGCATTGTGGATTGTGATGGAGTTCAGAGCTTGAAGAGCTGGTCAGAGTAGAAGCTTCGGACATGGGCAGCTGTGACGATAAAGGCAATCATTTTATAGACTTTGCATGTTATTTTTCATTGAGCATAAGATGGTGTTTGGCTTTAATTTGAACCCCTAGGAATGTCTCTGTGATCAAAGACACTTTGCCCTCTTAGGTAATGATGGGAACAGCTTCCAACTTGTTTCTCTGAATGACAGCGGCCCTGATCCTCTGGTGGGACACTGCAGTGGGAATTTCCACCAGACTTTTGTATTTCTATGAACTCTCTGGGACATTCTCCCCAACACTGCTTTCTGAATATCTGCTTTTCTCCCCACCCCTGGTCCACTCTGTTGGTCCCCATAGGCCTGGCTCATATCTTCATCAGCTTCCTCTCCCCAGCAATGTCCCTTTTCCAAGTCCCTGTGACATACCTAAGTTTTGGGGACCTGGCTTTCCTCTGAAATGCCAACCAAATCAGACTTGAGCTCTTCAAGTCCTCAAAGACCTGATACCACACACACACACACACACACACACACACACACACACACACACAGAATATATATATATATGTATCTTTTTAAAAATTATTTTTCTCTTTAAAATTATTTTTATTGTGGTAAAATATATATATAACATAAATTTTACCATTTTAACCATTTTTAAGGGTACCATTCAGCAGCATTATCATGTTTCCCCGAAAATAAGACCTACCCATAAAATAAGCCCTAGCAGGATTTCTAAGCATTTGCACAATATAAGCCCTACCCTGAAAATAATACCTAGTGACGGGCGTGGCTACTCAGCATATCTGCACAACCCATGCATTTCTTCGCGGAGGGGTAAAGAAGACGAGCAGCCCTTCTCATCTGCCCCGTGAGAGCTCTGTTGCTCAACATGAAAGATTGGGGCCAATGGTTCTAAAGGAAATAGAGTCGCAAGAAATTCAGGATGGAATTCGGGGTTTGGAGAGTGATGATGATGTTCCAGAAGAAGACGACTTAACTATATTGGAATAAATGTAGATTGTTGTACCGTACTTAAAAAAAAATAACACATCCCCTGAAAATAAGCCCTAGGGTGTCTTCTTGAGGAAAAATAAATATAAGACCCTGTCTTATTTTCAGAGAAACACAGTAAGTACATTCACATTCTTGTACAACCATCACCTCCATCTATCCACAGAACTCTTTTTGTCTTGCAAAACTGAAACTCTGTCCCCATTAAACAACTCCTCATTCTCCTCTTCCACAGCCACCATTCTAATTCTGCCTCTGTGGATTTAACTACTCTGGGTACCTCGTGTAAGTGGAATCATACAGTATTTGTCCTTTCTACTGGCTTCTCTCACTGAGCATAATGTCTCAAGGTTCATCCCTATGAGAGCATCTGTCAGAATTTCTTCCCTTTCCAAGGTAAATGATATTCTGTTGTATGTAGATACCATGTTAGCCCCTCTAGTGACTTTGTCTCTCCTAAAAGGAAGATAAGAGAAGGGTAGTCACATATATGCCCAGTTGGCTTCCCCTTGGTCAGCAGCAGTAAAATCCCCTCAACAAAAGTCACAGAAAGCTGAGGGAGAGGCTGGGAGGCTCAGGACTGTTGCACAGGCTGGCTACTACAGAAGAGAGAAGCATGGAGCTTCAGGCAGTCATAGGCCCTGCCCACCGGACGCCTAAATGCCACTAGGAACTGCCAATGGCGCCCTCTGTAGGTGGGAATCTTAATTTATGTCTTACCTAAAGTGACAGGGGCCTATGAATATCAAAAATCTTTTTATTGTCGTAAAATACACATAACATAAAATTTACCATATTAACCATTTTTTGTAGATACAGGGTCTAGGTATGTTGCCCAGTCTGGTCTCAAACTCCTGGCCTCAAGAGATCCTTCTTGGACTCCCAAAGTGCTGGGATTACAGATATGAGCCATGCCTGGCCCATTTTAACCATTTTTAAGT